TATATTTTAGAATATCTTTAAATTCATTATAAAAAAAAAAAAGAAAAAAAAACTACAACGAAAAAAGCAAGTCAGCTATATATCGATTTGTTGTACTCCTCAAATCACATTCACAATTTGGCTACAAGGAAAGGAAACTCATTGATTAAAATATTATTTTGTCAGTAGTCTTAATGTACAAGAGACTTTAAGACTCCACTTGAATATTATAAAACTTTTATTGAACATTGTACAATTTTCTTGCGTATTATAAACTTTTATTGAATATTGCATCTTATAATATAATATTCTCCAAATAAATATATCTCGTGTGCTTTGCACGAGTCACGTACTATATATATCCCGTACATTTTTCTTTATTCATGTATATAATTATAAGCCTGGATAAATAGCCTTAAAATTGTGCACCCCGTGCGATACTAGTACCATATATTAATTAATTCACATGATTTGAGTAATTAAGGTATAGTTGAATTACTTCATTAAATATTGAGCCGCAATTACCATATGTGATCATTTGAAATATACCATAAATTGTTAAATTAATTTCTCAAAATAGTAAATAATTTTTTTTGGAGGAAAATAGTTACTATTTAAAAAATAATCAAACCTTTATATATATATATATATATAGATATAGATTTATTTTGAATTTCAAAAACGTTATGAAATTTTGAACGCAATTTACATATACATGATTCAACTTTCACATATAGACACGATTTGTAAGAATTTCTTATCAGATATTAGATTTTACAAGTTCTAAAATGACATTAAAAAAACACAATCTGGTAAAATAGTTTAATAAATTTTATTTGGACAATTTTAATATATTTATGAGCTTTTATTTGTTTTAGTTTATTGAGGAGTTATGAAGTTTTAAATTTAATTAATATTAATAAACCTAGTAAAATAACTTGTAAAATCGTTTGAAATGGTTCAATCGCTTATAATTTTTTATTTTTTTCTAATGATAGGAACTTTTATAAACATATATATATACATCTAAAAACTAACCAAACAACTAACTAAAGTAACTATTGACCAGAATCTAATGGGAGGCCAGACCCGAAGGTCGCTTAGACACTAACAAGTTCTCGACAAGAAGAAAACAAAATTACCACAAGTAGAGATTACAAACAACACACTCCTAAAGGGAGGGAATAAAAACAAAACACACGAAAAAAAAACCCTCTCCTTCATTAGTAAAGCCACTCTTAATCCTCAAACGAGCTGACAACAAAGGCAACCACCCAAGCGGGTCAAATCCCAGCCCAACACAAGGTTCTAGAAACTTCTCTAACGGCTATCTAGAATCGAACCAAAAACAAAATCCAACTTAAGAAGTCACTATCGGATTGGAACCCAAGAGTAATGGCAAATTTACACATATCCTACAAGATTTGTAAAATATTACATTCATTGTTTCAGCCAATTTTAATAGCATTAATACCAATATTGTGTCGTTTAGTTATATGTCTACCTAACCCTAGTTTCCAAAAAATAAAAAACAGCTCTCCTAAAATTTCGTCCCATAATTTTAATTATATGTCTACCTAATGTCAGTTTCTAAAAACAAAAACGGATCACCTTAAATTTAGCCCCATAGATAATGACAAAAAAATGCTTGTTGTATATGGTAATTTACTTGACAGAAATATTTGGTTTCATTTTCTTTCGTAATAACTGCAACTACAACGAACTATATGTTGCGTTTATAGTCAACAAAATTTTCAGTTCTCAGGTGTTTGAATGGACAATATATATTGCATTTATAGTCAATATATATTAAGTATATACTGCGTTTTTTATTTACATAACATGTTTATACAACCACAATTGTAATGTTTGAATACCTTATACGTTTTTTTAGTTACATAACATTTTTATCTAACCACAATTGTGATGTTCGAATTTTGGTTCAGTATGTTACGTTTATAGGCACTATATATTCAGTATATGTGTTTTTTATTACATCACACTTTTATCTAACTGCAATTGTCATGTTTGAATTTTAGTTCAGTATATAACATGTCATATACATATCATAATCTGATCATACTTTTAGTATATGTAGAGTATATGATACAAATACAAAGATCACTAGCTTGAAAGAAATGTCAATCAATTGAAAAAAATGGGTTCATGAATGGAAAAAGCATAAAAACAGTAATGGTAATTAAAAAATTATATTCTAACATAACCAGAATAAAATTATGGATTATATACATATCATAACTACTCATAATAGCAGATGGGTGTGGAAAAAAAAAAAACAGTAAAACACACTATCGATGAAAACCAGATGCATCAGGTATATCATAAACATATACTAAAAATATACTGCCTATACACGCAACATATACTACCAACATCTCCATGAGCCCGAGCTTCGGGCCTCACCTTCGTCATCTTTCAATGATTCAACCAATCAATCCTCAATTCTGGTTCACAATCCCTTCGTCACCCATTGACCTCTATTACTTGGCTTTCGGCTAGACGAGGCTTCCAAGACACCCATGCATCCGACCGCGGATACCTGGCGGGGATCGCTTTCCATGGCGGTATGACGCACCAATTCCTTGGGTGGATGAGGAAGACGAGGACGAAAAAAAAGAAGAGAGAGACGAGGACGAAGACGAAGAAGGAGGAGGAGGATAACACACGTAACCATACGAGTGTATTGATTTAACGATAAAAAATCGATTATAAAATATACCTCCAAACCCAACCCCCATAAAAACAGAAAAAATAACGAAATTTTAGAATATAAATTCATTAAACTAATTTTACACCTAACAGCAGCACCAACTAAAGTGCAAGCATCGAAAGAGCAACCAAATTCTCCTCCCCGACCGCCATGGGCCGGGCTCGCCCTGCCTGGATTATAAAAATCCATGCTCCTGAACCTTTGCTTTATTAATGTTGATTGTCGACATATATCTTTTATGAAAAATTCAATATAGTTTACGTAGATCGTTTTCTTTTGCTTTTTGATTTTTTCTAACATTCGGTTCATATTTTTTCCGCACACAGCTGTGCTTGAAACCGTAGCAAAAAATATGAGAGAACCATAACCTGATCCAGCAAATACTCGAACCATTAAAATGACGAACCTCAAGTCACGAGCCACTTGCAGGTCTTTCCACGATCTATCTTTCCAGTACGTCATCGAATTCAAATGCTGCAACAGTACATAAAGCGCTCTCTGCTGAAGATAAATTTCCAGCTAGTGCTAGTGGAAATGGCTGTTGTGGGTTCACCAGTGGCTCGTGACCGTCCAACATTTTAAGCACGGAGTACATTGTTGGTCGATGGTGTGGTTGCTCTTCCATACATAAAAGCCCGACTTGAATGCATCTAAGAGCTTCTTCTGCTTCAAATGCACCTCCAAGTGATTCGTCGACCAAATCTAATGCTTTCCCTTCCTTCCACAGCTTCCACCCCTGAACAAGTGTCGGATAATATAGAACCGGATCATATATACATATACACTCAATTAATGCAAAAATATCCTAGAAAATGGGAGTTTTGAAACTATTTCCATATTGTTAGAATCTTCGCTAAACCAGGGATTAAATTTGAAACGTTTCAGCACAGACAGTCAACACTTACATTGTCAAGTAGGAACGTTGTTGCACCCATCTTCCTGCCACACAAGACCTCCAGGGCTATGATCCCAAAGCTGTACACATCCGTTTTAACTGATACTATCCCACGCATAACATATTCCGGACAAATGCAGTTTCTGCAAACAAACAGAACAACAACACGATCAATAATTCTTAAGTACAGCAGCAGCAGCAGCCCGGTCAGGAGGAAAGTGAACAGGAATGGAACCTTAAACTTACAAGGTTCCAACTACTCTCGAGGTTTCCATTTCTAAATCAATTCCTCCCATGGTCCTCCCAAATACGAAACCCGAAATTTTTGGATTCATCTTGCTGTCCAGTAAAATACTTTGTACACCGAGATTTCTGTGAACGACTAAGAGTCCCGAGTCCTGATGTAGATAAACAACTCCTCGAGCAATCCCTTTTATGATTTCAAACCGAACTGGCCATGTAAGAAGCTGGCGCCGCTGTTCGTTGCCTGTGCCTAAAATTAGTAACAGTAATTCATTTTCGGGTGTTTCTCCATGAAAAACTGTACAACAATGATTAAGATGAGGCCGGGAAAGTGTAGTGTACAGCCGATAAATGTGTCTAGACTTCTGTTCTCCATGAACTCGTACACAATCAGCTTTTCCTCTCTATGGATGCAATAGCCGAGCAGCTTGATGATGTTCTGGTGCTGGAGACTAGAAAGCAGGCGTATCTCATTTATGTATTCACTCCGGCCTCGGGTGGAAGATGGCGAAAATATTTTAATTGCAACCAATTGCCGTGTAGTAGGTAAGACACCCTGCACATCATAATTTAATCAAGGAAATATGGACTTAAAGAAATAAAGTAGAATTGGAGATGTTCGAAGATATCACCTTGTAAATAGGACCGAAACTGCCACGACCAACTTTGTTGGACGAGGAGAATACATTCGTAGCAGCTACAATTGTGTCCCAATCAAACTTGAGCGATCGTAGGTTTGCTTCCTCAATTTCTGCAATTCTCAAGCATGCATTTTTTCGGGGGAAAAAAAAAAAATCAGTACTGAGGGATCATTAACCATACTAAGAGGGCATATGTTTTTAGCCCACATTTTTCAGCTCCTATACCGTACCATTCATGATTTATTTTGGCCTGACATTCTCATATTTAATGGAGAAAAATGACTTTATTGAACATCCACGAAACAAATCAGTGATATATCATCAGAATCAGATAAGTGCAAGCATAAATGTTACCAACATAAATCATTTTGTAGAAGCATATATGTGTATAGGCAATGAAAAGTTCTCCATCTAACTTCTACTACGGCATTACCTTGCAGCAAACCGTTTCTCCTAGGTGCAATGGCTCGGCCCAAAAATGCAGCCCATGGCCAAACCCGTGACTGCTTATGACCCGTACGTTTATTTCCATCTCTACTTACAGACGGTGGAGATGTCAACATGTAGGTGGAAGCCTTTGTGGGGACCTCGATTTCATCATTAATAGCGCGAATTTCATCAAAATCACTCCCTACCTCACTCGAAACCGAAACTAATCCATTGTTCTGTTGGTCGAGTGCGAGCTCAAGCTGCTGCACGACCTGAGACATTGATGGCCGGCTTTTTGGTTCCTCGTGCAAGCATCTTTCGGCAATCCCAACAAACGTCTTAAGGCTACCTTTTGATATCTCCACTCTCAAACGCGAATCCACTATCTGATCAACCTCTCCTTTACTTATTTTATCACGGGCCCATACAGTCAGAATGTGCTCCTCCTCCGCCACATTCAAATCCACTGCCGCCCGTCCGCACAGCGTTTCGAAAAGCACCACACCAAAAGCGTACGTATCGGCTTTCATCGTCAGTTTACGCGTGCGGAAGTAATGCGGGTCCATGTACACTCTTGTGCCCTTCACCTGCGTACTGATGTGACTCTGCAACTTGTTACCTTCCTCGTGTTTCGCCAAACCGAAATCAGAAACCTTAGCTACGAAATCTTTGTCCAGAAGGATGTTCGAGCTTTTCACGTCCCGATGTATGATTCTACAGCCCGTGTGGAGATAGTCCAGCCCGCGGGCTGCCCCAATGCAAATAGCGAGTCGTTTTTCCCAATTTAGCTTAGGAAAAAAACTATCGTTTGTCGTCCTCCGAAGTTTGTAGAGTTGGTCGGCGAGTGTCCCGCCGGACATATAGTCGTACACAAGGATCATCTCCCGGTTTTCATTGCAATAACCGATTAACGAAACTAGATTCGCGTGCCGAAGCTCGGAGAGCGTCTCGATCTCCATAAGAAACTCGCGGGCCCCCTGCGTGGAGTTTGGTTTTAGACGCTTGATGGCGACAGTTTTCTGTTCTCTGTCGATGAGGCCTTTGTAGACTTTACCAAATCCGCCACTTCCGATTAGAAGCCCGTCGTTGAAATTTCCAGTGGCGGATTGGATCTCGACGAACGAAAAGCGGCGGCAGAGACGTTCGGCTCTGGCGGATGGCTTGTTTTTTTCTTCGGGTGCCTCTGTAAGCTCAGCTTCTGAATACTCGCGTAGCTTATGAACAGTGATGCTCAACAGGCATAGTACAATTGTTGCAACAAAAGAAAATGCAGTTTGATTTGAGAAAAAGATTAGAATGTGCTTTGATGGTGGATTTCGAGATGGTAGAGGCAAGGAGTTTGGGCTGGCAAGACTATTGTCAGGGTTGCTCAGCTTGAATATTTCGAATGCAGAAATGAGTTGAAGCCTGTCCATGAGCTCATCGTGCGAATGCAAAGAAATCGAGAGATCACGTTTGCCTTGCTCTTTGCGCCCTCTAATTGTCACCAAGTAGTCCTCATAATACCAGGGAATGTTTTTACTTTCACCGGTTGAAATTTCTTTTACCATGTCGATATTAATGCGAGCAATCATGCCGTTGATAAGTACTCGAAACTTCACATCACGAGTGCCGGAGATCTTGAGTCCAATCTCTGAGAATTGTAGCCTGATCAAGTACCTGAACCCCACATTCACTGGTACTCTCCAGGTTTTGTTCTTTACCTTCTCTGCTTTTCGTAAAGCCCACAATGGTACGGTGCCGTCAGAATATTCTGACTGACTGTAACTTTGCGTAATAATTGATCGATGGATTAGTTCAAGTGCCGTGTGGTGACCGACGTAGACTGTTGACTTTTGACCAACTACTTGAACTCCATTGTCTAAACCTTCAAAGTAAGGAACATTAGCAGGCACAGAGATAATCTCGATGCCGTTTACGAAAGCGTACGCATCAAGTGATTGGCTAGTCTCAGGAATAAAAGTTACGGTAAATTGTTCGTTTTCCTGTCCGCTCAAACAGAATTCTTTCGTAAAAGATTTCAAGCCGAGAGCATCGGCAGTAAGTGAAGCACTAAAGTTGCCGAGCAAAGTAAAAGGACCAGCTAAGACAGTGAACAAGTCTTTCAACCCTTTGAAACCTTTGTATGGGGCCGAATAGAACTGAAGGCGAAGAATTTTCTGACCTGGGCCCACTTGGAACGTGTAAGAGAATTGCGAACTAGAAACTCTAGCTGTCTTGTCGGGAACTTCATCTCCGGATATCAACCGACTGTTAGCTGTTGAGATTGCTGATGAGCCTTTGATCTGTGCATATGAAGTGGATTTCGGGTTTATGACATCGCCAATCCATTCCCAGCCGTCGAGTGCTGTAGATTTGCCGGTCGAGCCACAGTTGACCAAAAGGTCTACTGCTACATGTGTTGTTGGGTTATTACTACTGTTTGTGAATGTGATGAGGAAACAGAAACAGAAACACAGCAAAGGAATCGAAACTGTGTACAGATTCATGATTGTGTTTTGAGTGACTAATAGGAATCTGGCAAAAGAATGGTAAAAAAACGGCTTGTTTTTCAGATAATGAGGTGCAGATTAGAATAGAAATGAAGTTGTGAATCCATGTAGGGACACTTTGAAGATTCAACACACACTGCATTTCATTGAAACTTCAGCAAGTTCGTCGAAGAATTTCGGATAAATTACTATAAAACATAGGGACTGACATCTTAACATCAACTACCTGGGTCCTACGAAAAAATTCCTGTCGGATGCGACATTTATTGTGGGCATGAAAAAATATCTGTAGGAAAATGTCTGCAAATAAACATGGAAAATAAAAGAACTCAATAAAATTTATGATGTGTGTAGAATTGCGGCAGAGGTAAAATATTTGGCGTTCTAATCTGATGGAATATATTTCTACTTTTAATGACAACTAGTACAGAGCCTGTGGGTGCACAATTTTAAGGCTATTTATCCAGGCTTATAATTATATACATGAATAAAGAAAAATGTACGGGATATATATAGTACGTGACCCGTGCGAAGCACGAGATATATTTATTTGGAGAATATTATATTATAAGATACAATATTCAATAAAAGTTTATAATACGCAAGAAAATTGTACAATGTTCAATAAAAGTTTTATAATATTCAAGTGGAGTCTTAAAGTCTCTTGTACATTAAGACTACTGACAAAATTATATTTTAATCAATGAGTTTCCTTTCCTTATAGCCAAATTAGTGTGTACCCCGTGCGATGCATGGGAACAATATTAAATTAACAATATTATAAATAGATATCGAGTTTGAGTTACTCAATAGCGGAAGTGGAAACTACTATTGATCCTATTTAAAAAGAAGAAGAAAAAAATAATTATAAATTAAAGAGGAGGATAAACAATACTTTATAATTATAAATTATAGATTTGGGGTCAAACAATGTAAAATTATTTTGTATAAGGGAATATAAAGAAATTTGATTACACACCATTTCAAAATTATTATTATACTTTTTTGTATGGTTAGCTTATAATATTTGGAAAAATATTAGTAGTAGTAATTATGAATTGGTTTCTATTTTATTTTATTTTTTCTTTTTAAAGATAATGAATTTCTAGTAGTAATTATGAATTGGTTTCTATTTTATTTTATTTTTTCAAATCTGCATAGATAAGGATGAGATTTTTAAAACACATGATACGCATGCAATGAGATTTTGTAACAGAAGAGATAAGCAATAGGATTTTGTAACTCGTGTAGATTTATACTAAAAATAGGAAAAAGAAAAACAAATATTTATTGTCAAACAACGATTTTGATAAATTAAAAAACGGGAAAAAGAGAAACAAATCTTTACATAATTAATGAGCCAATTTTTTTGCCTATTCAGATTTGTCCAACAATTACTATATATAGAATATATTTAATGATTTTGGCGGGAAAATGTTTCTAAATGTGTTAAAAAGTTATTCTTTTTATATAATGATAGATTTATTGGAAATTATATTATTTTTAAGCATAGCTTTATCTTATGTTTTGCATTTATACTATATTTGCACATATGATAAAGTCCTTAGATTATTATTAACTATAAAGTATGGTTGCGCGGCAATCATGGAACATGTCTTTAAAGCTGTGATCTTAAATAAGTTTCAAGTCAATGGGTATTTCGAGACAGGACATCGAATAACCCGGTAAGACTTGTGCATATGATGTATGCTCATCGGATGAGAATGTTGCATTCCATCAACATTAGCGTGTGGACGCGAATGCATATATGCGAATGCTTGTTGGAGAACAAGTTCACTGAACATGACCCGATGAAAATTCTTAACTGGAACTTTTAACTGTCGAATAAGAATTTTCATGTTGCAATAGTACATGACTAATCCTATGACTTGAGGCACGATAGTAATCTTGTGCATGTTGTGCTTTACTTTGATTTATCCTTTGATTGTTGGACAATCATAAAAGGGATATTTTGGGTACTGTAATAATATGAGTGGAGGTTTATCGGTGGCCAAACAAAGAATTCGACACTTATGTGGATAAGTGAATTTCCTATGTTTTTCATAGTTTGTGATTCAAAGACCTTGGGCAAGGCAGTATGAATATGGATTCATAAAGGAATCACTAAACTTGAAATGGAATCATAGTTATTAAATCAATTGGGTTTCGACTTATAAATCCATGCCCAAGATTTAATCAGGAAATTAGTTGTCGAAAGGACTTTACATGTATGCACTTGCAATTGAAAAAGTTTACTCGCTATTTCACTTAATACTAGATGATCATGCTACTTGCTAGGTGTTACCATGATTTGTGGGTTCTTGAAATTAAGGAGTTAATTTCAAGAATATAAATTAATTAGATTAATTTAAATTACAAACGAGTTGTAAACTCACTACTAGTGTTAATCGTGAACTTAAAAGGGTCACACCAAATTTTGGATGATGACAATATTGAAATTGGTACTTTCAATAGTTGGATTAATTGGCAAGACTTAATTAAATAATTTAATTATTTAATTAAATCTAATTTTGATTAAATGTCAATTAAAAGAATAAAATAATTTAATCAATTAGATTGATTAATTAGGCTTTGGATATTAATTAAGTAATTATTGGAATTACTATATTAATAGTTTGATTTTAAAGTTGGACTTTAAAATTCAAATCCAAATATTAATATGATTATATATTAAAAGCCTACATAAAAGAGGAGATTTTATTTTTATGGGAGATAAGATTTTGACTAATTAATTTTGAAAGTTAGTTTCATAAATTATGTGTCATTATCTTTAATTAAGATTAAAGATTAATATATATATAATAATAATAATAATAATAGTAATAAAAAAATTTTGTTAGATGGGAGTTGTTGTCTTTTCCAACTCACTCTAATTAATTAAAATAAAATGAATTTTGTTTGATATGAGTTGTAAGATGTCTTGTTGACTTTACAAACTTCATTGCTACATTATTGTATATATATGTGTGTAATGTGTTGTGTACATGTGAGGATAACACATGAAACTTAATTAAGTCTGTCATTAGCTTTTTGCAAAAAGAGCATGAATTCTCTCGGCTTTTGCAAAGGAAAAAAAAAAAAAAAAATTCTACTAGCGAAGAAATTAATCGCGGAGTCTGAATCCAAAAGGTAGACTCGATTAGAGGGGAGACACTTGGATCCCTTATGGTGAGATACACGAAGACGGTGATAGCCACATAACCGGAAATTGATTTCCTCTTCATCGTCGCTATATAAAGAAAATTAAAGGTAATTTTCGAAATTCTCTACAAATAAAAATTCGTATTTTTACGTGATTTTAAAAGATGACGATCATTTTATTCGCTACTTGTACTTACGGATTAAGTATTTATTTAATAAATGATACTCATATTGTATAATTTTTCGCTGCGATTTTAATCCGTAAAGTATAGCGAACCCAAAAGTGGTATCAGAGCCACGATTTGCATCTTTAAAATCAGATTTTGATTTGTTTATGTTTATATGATAAACATGTTTAATTGTTAAGTTATATATTTTTTGTGTGTGATACAAAAGTTGTATTTGATTTTTAATTTGGGATTAATTAAATGAATCCAATTGTTCGAGTTCATACGGCCAGAAAATATTTATGATCAAGTGCAAAATATATATATATATACAAATTGTTGTGTATATCATGAAATTAGTTTTATGATTAATTAATAATAATTAAATATTGATTTATTAATCTAGAAATTGTTTTTAGATTAATTGTGATTTTCTGGCTCGACATGTCTGTTTCCTATTCCATTTTGTGCAAATTAGATTTGCAAGGTGTTATTAATTAAAAAAAAAAAATTGGATTCTCTATAGGACATGTGATGTTCACATCTTTAAAAATAAAATTAAACTCATATTTGAATCAAGGAGTTGATTTGATAAATACATCAAAAATGTTTGGTGGTATTAAAATGAATATGAGTTTCATACGTTTCGGTTATGTTCAAAAATTAAACCAAGCTATTGGTTATTGACAAAAAGAAAAAAATATATATATTTTTCTTGGTTACAGTTCATGACAATTGTGAATTGTTTGTGAAATTGTTAATTGTCAATTTTGCCAAATTGTTGGTTAATCAATGGACATGTCATGTGATAGGTGATCTACCCAACAAACACTATTTTTTTTTATGAGTTTGACTTATTCAATTAGAATTAAATAGTTAATTCTAAATAAATAAAAAATAAAATGTTGGGTGGCCATGTTATGCACTTACGTTACCCATGTTGATGTGTTATTTGTTGATCGACATTTTTGTGGAGAATGAGATTATTTGCTTAGTTGTCATATGATGACATGCATTTTAGTTTACTTAAAAAATATATAGATTAAGGAATATATTTAATTGAAATTTTATTTCTTAAAACTTAAAGAATTCCTGTGTGATTAATTTGATTTTTTTTAAAAATCAAAATTTGAAAGTCTGTGAGATTCTATGAAGTGATAAGATATTCAATTTATTTATTAATAATTTTTTTTTTATTTTTTAAAACTTTATGAAATTTTGAACGCAATATACATAAATATGATTCAAATTTCACCTATAGACACGATTTGTAAGAATTTCTTATCCAATATTAGATTTTAAAAGTTCTAAAATGTCATTCGAAAATACAATCTCGTAAAATAATTTAATAAATTTGATTTGGCCAATTTTAATATATTTATAAGCTTTTATTTGTTTTAGTTTATTGAGGAATCATCAAGTTTTAAATTTAATCAAACCTAGTAAATAACCTGTAAAATCTGTTGAAATGGTTCAACCGCTTATAAATAGCTTGTCCAATTTTCTAGCAATCTCATAGATTTACTTTTATTTAGTGAGTCAGTGGTTTAAGCTAATGAACTTCGCTATACAATGGGTAATCTTAATATATGTTTCTGTTTTCTATACAATATAAGTATTAATTAGAAACCTTCGTAAATTTCATAACATAATAATTCTGGACAAATCATTGTACATGAACTCTCACCTTATGCTTCAAAGATTCAAATTAAACGAAAGGCCTAAAATTTACCGACTTTCGTATCAAACTCAAATATATGTAACACACTATATTGTAGTCTTGTAGATGTCTAAACATGACGGGCCAAGCTTCTGATACTCAGGTTTCGAGTCTTTATCGATGCTCGCCAAGTCTGCCTTATTTCTTAAACGAGATAATAAACAAGCTCGAGTTCACTCCACTCATTTATCAATAGTAACGAGCCGAACTCGAACCTTAATGAGTCTGAGTTAAAGTAAATTAGAAAAAGAAAAAAATCGTAAAATCCATGCTCCTGATTGTCAACATATATCTTTTATGAAAAGTTCAATATATTTTACGACTTTCGCTTGTGCTTTTTAACATTCGGTCATATATTTTTGCACACACAGCTGTACTTGAAACCCGTCGCAAAAAATATGAGAGAACCATAACCTGATCCAGCAAATAATCGAACCATTAAAATGACAAACCTCAAGTCACGAGCCACTTGCAGGTCTTTCCAACGATCTAACTTTCCAGTACGTCATCGGATTCAAATGTTGCATCACTACATAAAGAGTCTCCTGCTGAAGATAAATTTCCAGCTAGTGACCATGTCTGTTGTGGGTCGACCAGAGGCTCGTGACCGTCCAACATTTTAAGCACGGAGTACATCATTGGTCGATGCTGTGGTTGCTGGTGAGCACATAACAGCCCAACTTGAATGCATCTAAGAGCTTCTTCTGCTTCAAATGCACCTCCAAGTGATTCGTCGACCAAATCTAATGCTTTCCCTTCTTTCCAAAGCTCCCAAACCTGAACAAATGTCGATTAAAATAGCACCGGAGTATATACACTTAATTTATGCATCTTCTTTTACTTTGATCCTAGGTTAACGTTAAAGATGTCCAGCTTTTGATGTTTTAAGATGCCAGTAGCAACCCTCATGCAAAAATATCCAATAATATGGGCCTTCTGATAAACAACAAATCAAGGTAAAAGTATCAAGCTTAAAAATAAAAAAATAAAAAAACGAAACATCTGTTTTTTGCCACTACAAACAATGCCTTGTCAAAGTTGAGTTAAAATTTGAGTTTTGATTGGTTTTTTTTGTTGAGTTTATAACCAATCACACCCTTAGTGACAGATTCTAACAATAGCTTGCCTTAAAAATGGTTTGGTAACTAATGACCTGTTCCTAACCTGAGTGTGACCAATGTTTCTACTAAACTTTAACCCAACCTCACTATCCTCAATATCATCAATATAGTTAAATAATATCAACCAATCATTCTTACACACCACATCAACTTTAATTCACTATTCATCCACTCACATAATTTTAACTAACCATCACTTCCAATCATTTTTCTTCTACTTTTACATCAAAACAACTTTATTCGTTTTATTTTAAATATTATTTTAATTTCAACTTAAATTCCACTCACAACTAACCATACCACTTTTTTTTTCAAAATTAACTATATCCTATCACACCCTAAACCATGGCTTAAATTTGAAACAATTCTGCAGAGACAGTTCACACTTACATGTCCACCAAGGGGCGGTGTTAGATTCACCTTCTGGCCGCACACGACCTCCAGGGCTATGATCCCAAAGCTGTACACATCCATTTTAACTGATACATTTCCATGCCTAACATAATCCGGACACATGTAGCCACTGCAAACAAACAGAAAAACAACACGATCAATAATTCACAAGTACAGCAGCAGCAGCCCAGTCAGGAGGAAAGTGGAACAGGAATGGAACCTTAAACTTACAAGGTTCCAACTATTCTCGAGGTGTCCATTTCTAAGTGAATTCCTCCAATGGTCCTTGCAAATGCGAAACTTGAAATTTTTGGAATCATCTTGCTGTCCAGTAAAATACTGCGTGCACTGAGATCTCTGTGAATGACTGAGAGTCCCGAGTCCTGATGTAGATAAACGACTCCTCGAGCAATCCCTTTTATGATTTCAAACCGAACTGGCCATGTAAGAAGCTGGCGTCGTTGTTCTTTGCCTGTGCGTAAAATTAATTAATAGTAATTCATTTTCGAGTGTTTCTCCATGAAAACTGTACAACAAAGATGAAGATGAAGCGGGGGAAAGTGTACCGCTGATAAAAGTGTCTAGACTTCTGTTCATCATGAACTCGTACACAATCAGCTTTTCCTCTCTATGGATGCAATGGCCGAGCATCTTGATGATGTTCTGGTGCTGGAGACTGGAAAGCAGCCGTATCTCATTTATGTATTCACTCTGGCCTCGGGTGGAAGGTGGCGAAAATTTTTTAATTGCAACCAACAGCCGTATAGTAGGTAAGACACCCTGCACATCATAATTTAATTAAGGAAATATGGACTTAAAGAAATAAAGTAGAATTGGAGATGTTCGAAGATATCACCTTGTAAACAGGACCGAAACTGCCATGACCAACTTTGTTGGACGAGGAGAATACATTCGTAGCAGCTACAATTGTGTCCCAATCAAACTTGAGCGATCGTAGGTTTGCTTCCTCAATTTCTGCAATTCTCAAGCATGCATTTTTTCGGGGGAAAAAAAAATCAGTACTGAGGGATCATTAACCATACTAAGAGGGCATATGTTTTTAGCCCACATTTTTCAGCTCCTATACCGTACCATTCATGATTTATTTTGTCCTGACATTCTCATATTTAATGGAGAAAAATGACTTTATTGAACATCACGAAACAAATCAGTGATATATCATCAGAATCAGACAAGTGCAAGCATAAAAGCTACCATCATAAATCATTAAGTAGAAGCAGCATATAGGAGTATAGGCAATGAAAATTTCTCCATCTAACTTCTACTACAGCCTTACCTTGCAGCAAATCGTTTCTCCTAGGTGCTATGGCTCGGCCCAAAAACGCAGCCCATGGCCAAACCCGTGACTGCTTATGACCCGTACGTTTATTTCCATCTCTACTTAAATGCGGTGGAGATGTCGGCATGTATGTGGAACTGGAAGCCTTTGTGGGGACCTCGATTTCGTCATTAATAGCGCGAATTTCATCAAAATCACTCCCTACCTCACTCGAAACCAAAACTAATCCATTGTTCTGTTGGTCGAGTGCAAGCTCAAGCTGCTGCACGACCTGAGACATTGATGGCCGGCTTTTTGGGTCCTCGTGCAAGCATCTTTCGGCAATCCCAGCAAACGTCTTAAGGCTACCTTTCGAAATCTCCACTCTCAAACTCGAATCCACTATCCCATCAACCTCTCCTTTACTTATTTTATCATGGGCCCATACAGTCAGAATGTGCTCCTCCTCCGCCACATTCAAATCCACCGCCGCCCGTCCGCACAGCGTTTCGAAAAGCACCACACCAAAAGCGTACGTATCGGCTTTCATCGTCAGTTTACGCGTGCGGAAGTAATGCGGGTCCATGTACACTCTTGTGCCCTTCACCTGCGTACTGATGTGACTCTGCAATTTGTTACCCTCCTCGTGTTTCGCCAAACCGAAATCAGAAACCTTAGCTATGAAATCTTCGTCCAGAAGGATGTTCGAGCTTTTCACGTCCCGATGTATGATTCTACAGCCCGTGTGGAGATAGTCCAGCCCGCGGGCTGCCCCAATGCAAATAGCGAGACGTTTTTCCCAATTTAGCTTAGGAAAAAAACTATCGTTTGTAGTCCTCCGAAGTTTGTAGAGATGGTCAGCGAGTGTCCCGCCGGACATATAGTCGTACACAAGGATCATCTCCCGGTTTTCATTGCAATAACCGATTAGAGAAACTAGATTCGCATGACGAAGCTCGGACAGCGTCTCGATCTCCATAAGAAACTCGCGGGCCCCCTGCGTGGAGTTTGATTTTAGCCGCTTGATGGCAACAGTTTTTTTCTGTCCTCTGTCGATGAGGCCTTTGTAGACTTTACCAAATCCGCCACTTCCGATTAGAAGCCCGTCGTTGAAGTTTCTAGTGGCGGATTGGATCTCGACGAGCGAAAAGCGGCGGCAGAGACGTTCGGCTCTTGCGGATGGCTTATTTTTTTCCTCCGGTGCATCAGTAAGATCAGCTTCCGAATACTCGCGTAGCTTATGAACAGTGATGCTCAACAGGCATAGTACAATTGTTGCAACAAAAGAAAATACAGTTCGATTTGAGAAAAAGATTAGAATGGGCTTGGATGGTGGATTTCGAGATGGTGGAGGCAAGGAGTTTGGACTGGCAAGACTATTGTCATGGTTGCTCAGCTTGAATATTTCGAATGCAGAAATGAGTTGAAGCCCGTCTATGAGCTCATCGTGCGAATGCAAAGAAATCGAGAGATCACGTTTGCCTTGCTCTTTGCGCCCTCTAATTGTCACCAAGTAATCCTCATAATACCAGGGAATGTTTTTACTTTCACCGGGAGAAATTTCTTTTACCATGTCAATATTAGTGTGAGCAATCATGCCGTTGATAAGTACTCGAAACTTCACAGCATGAGTGCCAGAGATTTTGAGTCCAATCTCCGAGAATTGTAGCCTGATCAAATACCTGAACCCCACATTCACTGGTACTCTCCAGGTTTTGTTCTTTACCTTCTCTGCTTTTCGTAAAGCCCACAGTGGTAAGGTGCCGTCAGAATATTCTGACTGACCGTAACTTTGCGTAATAATTGATCGATAGATTAGTTCAAGTGCCGTGTGGTGACCGACGTAGACAGTTGACTTTTGACCAACAACTTGAACTCCATTGTCTAAACCTTGAAAGTAAGGAACATTAGCAGGCACAGAGATAATCTCGATGCCGTTTACGAAAGCGTACGCATCAAGTGATTGGCTAGTCTCGGGAATAAAAGTTACGGTAAATTGTTCGTTTTCCTGTATGCTCAAACAGAATTCTTTCGTAAAAGATTTCAAGCTGAGAGCATCGGCAGTAAGTGAAGCACTAAAGTTGCCGAGCAAAGTAAAAGGACCAGCTAAGACAGTGAACAAGTCTTTCAACCCTTTGAAACCTTTGTATGGGGCCGAATAGAACTGAAGGCGAAGAATTTTCTGACCTGGGCCCACTTGGAATGTGTAAGAGAATTGCGAACGAGAAATTCTAGCTGTCCTGTGGAGAACTTCATCTCCGGATATCAACCGACTGTTAGCCGTTGAGATTGCTGATGAGCCTTTGATCTGTACATATGAAGTGGATTTCGGGTTTATGACATCACCAATCCATTCCCGGCCGTCGAGTGCTGTAGATTTGCCGGTCGAGCCACAGTTGACCAAAAGGTCTACTGCTATATGTGTTGCTGGGTCATTACTACTGTTTGTGAATGTGATGAGGAAACAGAAACAGAAACACAGCACAGGAATTGAAACTGGGTACAGATTCATGATTGTGTTTGAGTGACTAATGGGAATCTAGCAAAAGATAAAGAATGAATAAAAATGGCTTGTTTTTCAGATAATAAGGTGCAGAATAGAATAGAAATGAAGTTGTGAATCCATGTAGGGACACTTTGAATATTCAACACACACTGCATTTCATTGAAACTTCAGCAAGTTCGTCGAAGAATTTCGGAGTAATTACTATAAAACATAGGGACTGATATCTTAACATCAACTACCTGGGTCCTACGAAAAAATTCCTATCGGATGCGACCTTTATTGTGGGCATGAAAAAATATCTGTAGGAAAATGTCTGCAAAAAGACATGGAAAATAAAAGAACTCAATAAAATTTATGATGTGTGTAGAATTGCTGCAGAGGTAAAATATTAGCATATAAACAGGCAGAACTCACAATCAATGGAAACACGCAAAAAAAAAAGGGAAAGAACATTGTTGGATTTTTACAGCAGCATTCTCTTTCCATACTCCCTTCTTGTTAACGAGAAATTATATATATAAATTCTTACTTTTGAGGCATAAATTCTTACTTCCAATCCTCAATCCGAGCTCATGAGCGGCTAGTTACAGAACAGCTCTAATCATTGGCAAGCCTCCAGTTCAAGATCCATCAACCAAATTAGCTTAACCAGATTCCAGCATCCCCATAAAACCGCTCGAGCATCGCATCAATCTCCGATTCCGAGTCCTCCGTGAACGAGCCGGAAGCATTCAAGCTGAGCAGGCGCGACAAAATCCAAACGGGCTCGGTCTACAATTCCGGGACAAGGAAACCAAGAAAAATGGGCAAGGGAAAATAAAAGGAAAACAGATTCTACACGCAGCGCCAACTCGATCTCCGCTACACTCGCAGCCACACAACGGGCCCTCATGTTGAACATTGCCCCTTTTGTAACGATCCACCGCCGGTTTTTGGTATAATGTAATTTGGGAATTTATTGGGATAATCGTATATGTTACTGCTAAGACAAACTCATACCCGCTCTAGATGGTGATTACGCCATAATAGAGTGAAGAAATATCAAATATGTCCAACCATTGTTGGAAACAGTATATATCTATGGAGAAACTGTTAATTGCCGCTCATTTTTTTTTATTTATTTTTTAGCTTTTAGTTTTTATTTTTTATTTATCTTAATTGTTTTTTGTTATATATTTGTACTAACAAAATTAATATTCCAATAAATTTTATTATAGTTAATGTATTTGTAGTTTAATTAAGAATATAGTTAAATTTATAATATTTTAGTATTACTTGATACACGGTTTAGTAAATAAAATAATTTTAATATAAATATTGTTGTATTTAATTATGTTTTTATTAATTATATAATAATAATTTAAATAATTAAATATGTGTAAAATAACTTATCTAATTAAATTAAATTTATGATATTAAAATAATTTAAAATAATAAATGTAACGCAAACAGTTGAAGACGAAACTAAGCTAGAGATGACATGGAATTTGAAATTTCAATATATTCTTCTTTTTTGTTTTTATTTTATTTTGTCATTTTTAATTTTTATTTAAATGTTTATACTATTTTTTCAGCCTTTCTTGTTTATTTCTTAATTTAATATTCGTATTTTCGTTAGCAAAAGGTCAAATTTTTTATTTGGTACACATTATGTTTTTCCACAAAGTTTTGGCATGCTAAATTAATAAATCTATTTTTATT